GACAATGTAGGGACTCCATTTACTCATCTCTAATGTGGAAGAGTTACAGTAGGTAGCTTTAGATGTCTTTCCATTCTAAGAAGAATTAGAATTCATTGAGTAGCTATTATATGACAAGCATGATTATATTGTATTTGGGGACTTAACTATGTTCCAAACTGTCATGCAGATCTTAGTAGTATTTTTTGCACTATATAGTGAGAAAACAAAATAATAGAGAGGTTGACTTGCCTATGATTACATGTCTAAAAAGTTAAAAAATCATGATTTAAATCCAAATGTGCCTCAAACATTGAATTTTTTTTTCACAGCCTAATGCTGTTTCTGGTTCTACATTCTGTTTCTAGGTACTTCTTATTCTACATTTGCAATCAAGTTGCCTGGAGTATCAATCAGTGGAAATCTATGGAATTTTTAATACATCTATAATATTTTGGTTAATATTCTATAATATTTGGTTAATATAATATTTTGGTTAATAATTCCTCTTATTCAAGAAACACTAAGTATAGACTTAAAAATAGAGTCCATCACCAGTGAAGAGCTGGCTATGTCAGTCCAGGCACCTCAGACAAATAAAGAAGAAAGAGGAGGAACAAAGAATTGATTGCAAATATCTTAATAATGAGTAAATGTGACAGGAAAAATATATTAAGACAAATACAAAACAAATGACCATAAAACAGTTGACTCCCAGCAGGATGGACGTGTAACAGATTCTATGGCAGAGAGCAGACCTGTTCATTTGCAGACTTTAACTGGCCAAAATCCAGTCCCTACTTTAGCTCAGATAGCAACAATTACAGAGATAGTTGAGTCTACAGAATCAGAAGATGAAATTGATTCTCATGAATGTAGAGAAATCCTTGCAGGAAGACCCTCTGACAGAATACTGAATGAATGTTTCTCTGATGTGCCCGGTGTTCCCAAGATTGAAGAAGAGAAATCATTACCATGTTACCAAGAGTAACATCACTACCATGGCAGTACCAACTAGCATATACCAGACTAGCACATAGCAATTATAACATGTATGCTCCAATTCAATATGATTTACGTTTTCTGTAGTTACATTGCAGCAACTCAGGTTTTAGCAATAAACTGTTCCATTTTAAAATGCATCATTATTATCTAAACTGTGTATTACAGAATAAAAAGTACATGTTAAAGAAATGAGAGATTTATACTAATCGATATCATATACTTTTGAAAAGTAAATTTTTATTACTGAATACTGTATAGAAGAAAATTTGGGAAGAAAAATAAAAGCAGAGTTTTTCTATTTATATGTTTATATTCATATCAAGTAAAAGTTTAAGTTTTATGTGGTCTTTACAATGTATGCAAACATATATTTGTATTTCATTGTTGTTGGCTTTTGTTACCAATATATTACTAATCTAAAAGAGGTACATATGTTTTCTAAATTATTTTCTAAATCAAATTCTGTTTTTACTGCCCTCTACTATGTTAATATGTACTGCACTTTTCCTAAAACAGAAAAAGAAAATGATTTATTTTTAAAACTACAGCAACTGAATAGATTTTATTTGAAATTCTACGCACTAAAATCTCTAAATAAACAGATACATTCACATTTTTTAAAAAGAAAAGACTATGAAAATGGATTATGTGCTTGTGAATTCTTCTGTTTATCTTTTATGACTACATAACATCTGCTCTTGGGAATAGTCTAAAAGGTGGAGAAGTCAAAAATTACAATATAGTGATGCAGTTTACAAGATGATGTCAGTTAAATAACATCATAAATAACTGGACTGGACAGTATTATTTCCTTTTTGAAGATAACATCCAAGTTTGCAGATAAGAGTCATTCTTCTTATGCTAACTTGAATAATTTTAGTCATAAAAAAGTAAAAAATTAAAACCCAAGCATGCAATAAGACTTTGCAGACAACTGAGCCTAACAAGAAATATCCACTTTATTCAAAAATCTATTTCTGTATTTGTTTATAAACGCATAATGAGTTGAGGTGGTAAGTTTTAACTACAATTTGAAGAATTTTGATAAGGCAGAGTGAATAGTAGCTTGAAGGGAGAGTAGAGAAGTTTCTTTCCGACCAGAGGAATTGAGCAGTGGAATAGAGATATTATTATAGACAGGAGGGAATTAATGTAACAGTCCTAGTGTCTCCAGGCACTTTTTCTCCTTTAGAGGTCAAAATTTCTGTACATAGAGTCCTGTGTTAAGCCAGTGACTCTATCACTTGCCTGCTGTGACTGGGAACTTGGGGTTCATGAGTTAGTCGTTTCTATATGGAAATGACCATGAGAACTGAAGTAACAACATCCCAAGTGTCTGTTAAGTGTCTGACACACTGTATTTAGCCATAAAGCCACCACATGACTATATTAAGGGAGAATATAGAGAAGCACAGATTTTCTCACGTGATTCCAAAAACAACACAGTATTAAATAATTAGGGTTTCTGACAAAGACCATTTCAAGATTAATAGGACAAAAAAATAGAAAAAAGAATAACACTCAAATGGACTTATAACATTAGAAAAGCTGAATTTCCCAAAATAAAAAATAACAAACAAGACTGAAATTCCAAATTGACTCTAACATGGAAAATACAATCATATTTGAGTTCTTCCACAGAGAAGTCAGCATGAAACAACCAGGAAAATCATGAAACAATTTGACTGCTTGGAAAAAGTCAAAAGTTACTTATACTCACAAGAGCCCTCTTACACCTATTGTCCTCCAAAGGGATAAAGGATAGAGCAACAGCTGCCACAAAATTTAATCCAATGGGGGGCTGGGGAGGGGAGAGGGATAGGTAATCTGGATGTTAAGAGCAAATACAATTTTAACATGTTTTGATCTTTATGGAAATTGTACTAATTCTGGGCATTTCTGGGATCTGGTTGGATTGAATCTCTAGCTTTCTATTCTAGATTTTTTTTGTTGTTACTACACTGTGTATCACTATCTTCCAAATAGTCACTCAAAATACAAGGCATAAACCAAAAAGACTCCTATAAAAAAGAGCCTTAATAACACAAAACTTGTTTCTCTTTTTAAAAATTAATTTTATTGGTACATTTTAGGTATACAATATAATGATATTCATTACTGGAGATTTGTACCTTTACATGATCTATCTTGATTCTTATTTTCTTCCCCATTCCCCTGCCCTTCCTTCAACCCCTCCACCCGTCTCTATTTACAAAGACTTTGTTTCCATTTTTTCATTTTATCATGTTAATTCCATTCCCTTCTTTCTTTTCCCCTACCCCTTCCACTCATGTTTTCTTTTTTTTAAATCTCAAATAATCACACACTAGCACAGCCCAGAAGTTACATGTATATATTAGAAGTTGTGCTATAAATATCTAACTGAAAATTTCAAGATTCAGGACCACATGAATCTAAGATTGGCTTCTTAGCTAAAATTTAATTTAAAAGTTCTTATTTTAGGAGGATACATAACTGATAGTCATTTTAACCAATCAGTTTCCAATCCATGTTAGCAACTCTGAAAATTATGGTAATGGCTCTTGAGTTGGACCAGGAAAAAATGGTGGGACCTTCAGGTTGGCCTTCTAGCTTCCATCAGTTAACTTCTGCTTTCATTTGATTTGCAAACTGGCTGTCAAGATTTTGTATAAGTAAAGGATACAGAAGTTTACAAGAGTTTGAAAACTTCTGTAGACTCTTGCTAGAGAAGACATTTTATGGGACTCTTCCAGGGTAATATACAATTTCTTGCCCATTTCCTGATGGTCAAGTGCTGTTTTCTTGAGTTAATTAGTAAACCTCATTTCCCAGACTCTAGGGGAACTGAAGGGTACCTCTTCACACTGACCAGATTCCCTAATATTAGGATTCCCTAATAACTGACAATAATAATTGTCAATAACTCTTTGACCTTTAAAATACAGTCTGTGTCCAAATTCTAACATACAGAGCTCCTCTCACTATTGTCCTAGCCTGTGTCAGTGTCTGCTCCACTCTCCGTCTGATGCTCATGAGAAGGATTTCATTTTCCATGAGAATTTCTTCCATTCCTCTTACCCTCACAAACTCACGTACTACTCTACTTAGAGGAAGAAGCTGTAGTTAAATGATTACAGAGGAAGTGAGTGCTTTCAAATCAATCCAAGATATATTGAAGCATTACTTATGAATATGATATTGTTCTTGGTATTTTGGGGAAAACAAAAAGGTCCTCAAGAAGCAAACCTAATACAGTGAGAAAGGTGGGAGGCACCATGAAGTGCTGAAGTGGGAGAATGGAGGCAAATGCCTTTCAAATTAATCCTCATTTAAACACATTCAAAAAAAGGAGGAAGGAACAGAAGTAGAGGAAGCTACAGAGATAGACCAGCTTTTCTCTCCCAGAGTAGAACATAAATTCTCATTGTACATCTTTCAGTACATACACATATATTTACTTCCATGACACTATTTCCATAGAGTACCAGATGGTTTAGCAAAGGTAAAGGGGACCCTCAAAGAACCCCAAGTGCCAACCCAACCAGTGCTTGAGCAGCTGAACATCAGTGGGAGTGCTGAATAGAAGAGGGCACAAAATGTTAGTGATTCCATCCTTGACCCTGGGAGCAAGGGGTGCACAGACACCCGGAACATTTTATAACCAGCAGCATCAAGTAGCAAAACCCGCCTTTGAAAAAGCCATGGAGTACTCTGTGCCTGTGTGTGCAACTGAGACCTTTCCCAATAGTATGGACATGTATTGGAGAAAACAAATCTTTACGTGGTGAAGATTGTCTCTCTCACAAATGTCCTGTTTGATATTAATCGTGGAATTGCTACATACTTGAAGTCTTAGTTTCTGATAACTGCTCAGGCTGTTCATTGGTAATCAAGAGGATGTTTTGAACTGTGAGTCAGACAGCCTGCGGCTTGGACTCTCTATATAAAGAGAGATCTTCCAAGGTGAGATACTACTGGAACAGTCAGGTAGAGAGCTTCTGTTTCTTGTCCTGAGGAGGAAAACAAAGATTAGCATGCTCAGTCTTCCTCTGCTGCTGCTGCTGCTCTGGAGCATGGGGTCTCATGGCTTCCCAGTATCGCCAGAAACACAAGGAGAAGATGTGGAGCTGGTCCAGGTACATACTATTTTACACATTCTAGAAATGGAAGTCGTTAGTTTTCATTTTTCTAGTGTAATATAATGGAGTTCATTTAAGGATGGATTTCCTACAAAGAGAAATGGTTTTTTGTCAGAAACAACACTTTCCCAAGCCTCTCCTTTTCCAGCTGGAGCTGAGAGGGACTGAAGAAACAGGATGCAAATCTCACTTTAGAAATTTGTAGGTTTTCAACAACTTGTAAATTTCATTCTACATGTCTTGCTTTACTGTAAAGTTCAGTCTTTTCCATAAGCAATAGTGAGTGGAATTCTACTCTGAAATTGTATTTTTTTAACCATTGATAAAGATAACAAAAATCATGCAGTCTAAACAAAAGGTTAGAAAGTAGTTCTATATCTGGATTAAAACTTCACGTCATTCATTTTTTAAAAAAATAAGAAATAGTTCCCATTCAATGTTTCAATAATTTTATTTTTTATCAGAAATACTTGGAAAACTACTATAATTTGAACAAAAGGATGCATGTTGGAAAACAAAAAAGAAGTGTTAATAACCTGGCTGAACTCCTAAAACAAATGCAGAAATTCTTTGGGCTAAAAGTGACTGGGAAGCCAGATAATGAAACCCTGAAGGTGATGAAGCAGCCCAGATGTGGGGTGCCTGATGTGGCTTTGTTCACCACCATGCCAGGGGGCCCTCGTTGGAACAAAAAGGATCTGACTTACAGGTAACCAGAGTGACTATTAGAATGAGGAACGTGTTTCCCATTAGATGGTAAGAAATAGGCCTAATGTTTCTGAATTGTGTTTTATTAAGGATTAAAAATTTCACACCAGATTTGCCAAGATCAGTTGTGGAGAATGCCTTTGAGAAAGCCTTTCGACTCTGGAGTGATGTCTCACCTCTGACATTCACCAGGATATTTTGGGGTGAAGCAGACATAATGATATCCTTTACCAGAGGAGGTAAGCTCTTCCTGTAGCATGGCAATAGTCTCACCTAACTTTCCCTTGCCCCTAACTCTCTTCAGCTTTGCAACTAGAATTCCTTGTTGAAGAGGTTATTGATCTCATGGACTGAAGGCAGGAAATTACATTATATTTGATGAAGTCAGGTGGCATCTTAGCAAAGCTAATGGTTGCTATCCTAAGTTAGCCTAAATGAGAAGCATTTGATGGTTCTCAGAATCTTTGTTGAATATTATTTCTTGCAGCTCATGGTGACAATAACCCCTTTGATGGACCTGGAGATACACTTGCTCATGCTTTTGGACCAGGTCCACGTCTAGGAGGGGATGCTCACTTTGATGAAGATGAAATGTGGAGCAATGAAAAGTGGACCAAGGATTTGAGTAGTAAGTCAATCAATTTTATTACTCTCAATTCCCCTGCCCTTTCATGGTTCATTTCAATATTGGTTGACTTAACTGACAGAATGAATTAATAGAAATAGGCATTTTTCCATTACCACTAAGAAAATGGAATATTTAGAATAGTATAAGAGAGGTTAGCTTTGCTAGTATAACTTCTTATTGGTGACAAATACACCACTCTAAAATTTCCATTAAGAAAGTATTGAAAACTTCAGGCTTTGCTTGTAGATATCTACTTTGTATCTTCTTTATGAGAAAGGTACAGCAAAATTTAACAGTAGTAGGAAGATAATGTGGAAATTAAGGGGGATAGCCCTTCTGTGTTATCCAAGATTTCCAGCATTAAGCATTTATCAATTTAGTAAATAAGAAAAATACTAAATTTTAATAAAACCTTATTGGTTCTCTGTGAAATAATATATACCAGCTAATCATGAACAAAATCGACTCATTTGTGCTAAATTCTCAGTCAATTTGTCTTAATTTTATCAATATAATCCTAAAGTCTAGGTTTGGACATCTCTTTTTATTATTAATTAAAGAATGCCTCCCACATTCAGAAAAAAAGTTTTATAAATATATGTACATATATATGTATATAAATGTATATACATTTTGAAATATATATATATTTAAAAGGTAACCAAGAAAATAGAATTAGTCCTTATAGAATTGTAGATTGCTGGGCATGGTGGCATACACCTATAATCCCAGCACTCAGGAGCCTGAGGTGGGAGGATTACTGAGAATTTGAGATGACCCTGGGCTACATAGTGAGACCCTGTTTCAAGAAACAAATAAACAAAAAAATTATAGATTATTTCTTTTTTTTGTATTAAATTCTTTTATTGGTACATTGTAGGTATACAACACAATTACATTTCTCATTGGGAATTATACCTTTACATAATGCAACTTGGTTCTTATTTTTTCCCCATTCCTAGCCCTCCCTTCACCCCCTCCATCCTTCCCTATTTACAAAGACTTTATTTCCATTTTTTCCATTTCTCATCATTTTTTCCTTTCCCTTCTTTCCTTTCCCCTGCCCCTCTCACTACCCCTACCCCTTTGGACCTTTTATTCCTATTTTACATTATTGATTGTTCATTCTAATCATTGGTACATTTTAGGTATACAATATAATGACATTCATCATTGGAAATTTGCACCTTTACATAGTCTCTCTTGGTTCCCATATAGATTATTTCTTAAATAAATGCCTCAAAACTGAATACATTTTAAATAATTGAAAATGGGTTTTCTTAACCTTTTAGAGATCAACTTGTATCTCACTGCGGCTCATGAATTTGGCCATTCCCTTGGACTTGGTCATTCTTCTGACACTGAATCTTTAATGTACCCCGTCTATTCCTACAATGGTAATGTTCAATTAGGTCAAGATGACATCGATGGCATCCAAAAACTATATGGTGAGTAAGAAGAAAAATGTTGTGAACAAGGACTGGTCTTTATACCTATTACAAATAAAACAAACCATTAGCTGTATCTTTTAAGAAGCTTTCATTGTTTATGCAGTTTCCCAACACTAGGCAAAACTAACTCCAGTTTTCTTATTTTCCTTAGGACCTCCCAAAATTCCCTTGGGAGGAGAGGAGGAGAAATTAGGCTTAAAAGCTCCAGATGTGTGTAATAGTCAGGTAACCTTTGATGCTGTAACTACACTTCGGGGAGAAATAATGTTCTTTAAAAAAAGGTAAGATCTCTCAGTTCTTCTTTGTGTTCTACATCATTACTATGGTCCACTAATAAGTTTCATGTACTATTTATCTTACATTGATTTATATTTATAATTATATGGTAGAAATTGCTTTCATTTACACAACATAATATACTTAAAGAAACTTATTTTTCCACGTATATTATTGGGCCATTTTGATTCTCAGATACTACCATTGAAGTAGAAAATCAGTAAATAATAATCGCATCTTACAGAGAAGGAAGAAAAGAAAAAAGAGAAAACCTTTTATGATACAGAGCTCATTAGTGACAGAGTACTTATTGGTCTTCTGACCCCTACCCAGGGCTTTTTTTTATTATGCCAATCTTGAAGATGTTAAAGAGAAATCAGTCCATTCACAGCACCATTACTCTGATGAGGCTATGTAGGCTCTCTTTAAGTATCACCCCTTCCATCCTAGAATGGATGGCCCTCCCAAAGCTTGAAGGTTCTCTGTTGCCACTGGAAGCTAAAGAGAAGGAGAAGGAGAAGGAGGAGAGGAGAAGGAGGAAGAGGAAGAGGATGAGGAGGAGGAGAAGAGGAGAAGAAGAAGAGAAGGAGGAGGAGGAAGAAGAAAGAAGAAGGAGGAGGAGGAGAGAAGAAGAGGAAGAAGAGGGAGAGGAAGAAGAAGAAAAAGAAGAAGAAAAGAAGGAAGAGGAGGAAGAGGGAGAAGAGGGAGGAGGAGAGGAGGAAGAAGGAGGAGGAAGTGGGGAGACACCATTACTGAGAGAATCCTTGAGTTCATGAGATCTTTTAGGCAGATATGGGCAGCCACAACTTAGTGCTTCCCTCCTCAAAGAAGGATCTTGGAACTGTCTCTGCAATATGTGGATTCAAAAGGACTATGTTCTCTTGTGCACAGAACAGGCCTGCTCTTTATGCCACAGTGATTCCTACAGGACCAGGAAAAATAATACAACTTTTTGAATGACACAGCTCACAGACCAGCACAGAAAAAACTAGGGTGGGGATGGGAGGAGGGTCCTGAAAGACTTGCCTCTCTTCAGACACTCTTCTTGGAGCATGGTGGTGCTGTTTTATTACTTTGTAGTCATCTCTATCCCTAAATTCAGGTATTAGCTTTCTTTCCTAGTCTTCACTAGTTTTGAGTTTGAAAGAAGAGGCTGGAAGTAACCCATACAGGGTTCATCTCAATGTTAGGAGATGTTGAGGAAACGTGATTTAAAGGAAAGTTCAATCTAGCAGAACACATCTGTCAGAATAAGCTTTCAGGGATGACTCCAAGAAGCAGGACAACTCTAGGGTTTGCAGGAACTGAAGGGACACTGAAATGATTTAAATGTCATCACATCAAGAAGACACAGAAGGATAGAGACAGTAACTGGCTTGTCCAAGTTCTCACAGCCATGATGAGGCAGGACAGGACATAGAAGTAGGATTCTAACCTCCAAGGCCTGGAATATGGAAAACTCTCATCAACCCTCATGATACTCTGTTCAGTGCTGTTAGCCCAGTCCCTACGAACTGTTGAATCAACTTCATACACCACTAATCAAGGAACAACAAAAGTAGTGGCTGCCAGAAGCAAGTTTTAAATTAACCTTTGCTTCTTACCAGCTCTATGGCCTTAGACATCTCTTTTACTTTCCCTATCCTCAATTTCTAATACTGCCATAGGAATAATAAGGTTTTGTTTTACCATTTATATTCTTGAGGTTATTTATGCCTATTGTATTTGTGTGTTAAAAATAGTGTGACTATGGTGACTCTTGAAATTTGCCATGGTGGCAATATTTCCATGAAGAATTAAGCAGATGCTATAAACCTGGACTTCTCATGCCCCACCCCCTCCTTTGAAGGATCAGATGTTGAAAATTTATAAGCACAAGACTTGTGCCAGCAACAAGGAGCTGAGTGCTAGCCAGAGAGATTGCCAAAGATTAGATCGAAAGCTTTTTTCTTTTTCCTTATTTTCAAAATCAGGTTCTACCTTCGTCTACGTCCCTCATATTTAGAAGCTGAAATCGGTTTCACTGCTGCTTTTTGGCCACATCTGGCAAATGGATTTGATGCTGCTTATGAACTTGACTACAAAGATGAAATCCGGTTTTTCAAAGGTAAAAGTCCCAATCATTTTTCATTGTTTTTGCAACTTAATTTTTCATTTACTTTTGGGGTGAGATGTGAAGGTATTAGCTACATTCTGTCCATGGATTTTTGAAAATCAGTCTCACCAATCAAATCAATCAGAGTGCAACCTGCCTATTAAAAATTACATTATGCATTTGAGTCATTTTAAACAGAAAGAAATAATTTGAGATAGAATTGTTCTGACCAGTTTATGAATCTAGACCTATAAATGTGTTTTCTTTGCAAACTATATTTAAAACTTTCCCCATATTACTAGGAGTGCTCAGAAATAAAGTTGAGTGAAGCGGGCCAATTCTACAGAGAATGGAATAGAAGCATTTAGTTTGTGCGATTTCCTACACCCTATTTTAATACAAGCCACCTTCTTGAGTGAGGGTGAGAAAGGCCACCACGGAGCAGTCAAATGGGACATTGCCACCTTGTTGTCTGGGTGTAATTCTCCACCAGTGGGCCTGGAATCACCAGGCAGGCTAATACAAATATAGAATCTCAAATCCAGACCTTCTTTGAACAAAATCTGAATTTTAACAAGTTTCCTATCACATGCATATGCACATATGTGAAGTAATGAATTATTATGAATCAAACGGGACATATTTTTTTTCCTGTCAGAATGAAATAGAATCTGATGCTTCTGGCTTTGAAGACCATGCAAACAAATACATTTTCATATATGTTTTACATAGTACAGCAAAGATTAAGACACTTGATCTTGCCATACATGCAAAGCAAAGAATCAAAGGTCATTTCAACAGGCAAACACTTTGAAACAGGATTTCCAACCTTTGTGTTGCGAAATTAAATAGGGCTTTATATGTACAAAGTTTCAGACTGCATTTAATAAGGAGCAAATAATCATATCTGTGAACAAGAGCAACCCCTTCTTAAGAAAACAAGATTAGCTGTATGTGATATGGGGTTTACTAACTGGACACAGCATAAATTCACATATCTGGAACTGTGTTCTACTCAAATGCTATGATTTTAATCCAGAGTTGCAATTCTGCTCTGCTCTTCAGATACCATTGATTTGAACTTTATATCACTGGGGCAGTATGACAAATTCTAGCCATTTGAACATCTGTCTCTGGAAGGAACCCCTTATGAAATGGTCATAAACATTCTCAAAGCTTGCTTCAGATTAAATTGACCTAGGAAGTTTCAAAATATAACTGCTTAACTGTTCTGGAACAGGATTCCAACACTGGCTTTTTCAAAAATCTCTAGATGATTCTGATCTAGAGCTAGGACACTGTTCTAGCATGAAAAACTAAGACTTAGCTGGAATCATAGCTTATTGTCTATTGGAGCCTTGGGTGGTTTTTTACATCTCTGGTTTTTGATTGGCAGGTTACAACTATTGGGCTGTTCAGGGACAGAATGCTCTACCCAGATATCCCAGGAGTATCTACCACTCTTTTGGTTTTCCTAGGACTGTAAAGCAAATTGATGCTGCTACTTCTGATGTATACACTTGGAAAACATACTTCTTTGTTGCTAACAAGTACTGGAGGTAAAAACTGAACACAAAAAAATTAGGCTCTTGATTATGGTGCTGCACACCTGTATTCCCATCTATTCTGGAGGCTGCGGTAGGAAGACTGCAAGTTCCTGGCCAGGCTGAGCAATTTAACCAGATCCTAACTCAAAACAGAAGAGAAAAAAAAAAGGCCAGGATGTAGCTTAGTGATAAAGCACTTGCTTTGCATGCATGAGGCCCTGAATTCAACCCACACCCCCAGCACTACCAAAAATAATAAAGAAATAAGGCACCAATTCTTTCTGTACTAAAAGTTCTAGACTTATCTGGTTCAAAATGAGTCTCAGATGGCCTTAGTCAGCTGCCTTTTCTGTGAATGGCTATATCCAATCTAGCATCCATTTATTTAATCAATTAATGAGTAATCATCACACAATGCCTGTGCTGGGAGTCCTGAAAGCATGTGATATCAAATTTTAAAAAGATATAAAAATGAGCATACATCTTTATAGAGCTACTTTGGCCAAAAGGAATCACTCTTTCCTAATGTTTTACATTATTAGGATATGGTGTAGAATTTACTGGAGAATTAAAATTAGATGTTGGATTTCAAAGGGACCTTATAAATTTTCTAGTACACCCCAACATTCTATCTGTCTTCATTCAACTCCCCATTTTACAATCCCTAGAATTAAAAGTTCTTGTTAAATTCATGCTGGTGCATTTCCTGTAATGATTTTGAAAAGTCTTGATTTTTATTAAAAGGTTCTGACCCTCCTGATCATTTTCTGACCAGGTATGATGAATACAGACAATCCATGGATAGAGGTTATCCTAAAATGATAGCCCATGACTTTCCTGGAATTGGCAACAAAGTTGATGCTGTTTTCAGCAAAGATGGTAAGTGAATATAAAATCTTCCCTCCATTTTGTTTCCTTAGAAATAGCATCAGTATTGCTATTTGGAGCAGCAAATACCAAAAATATTTGTGCTGAAAACTTGAGGTTCTCAAGAATTCAAGTTAAAACTAGAAACTAGTTGCATAATGTAGTAAATCTTCTTTGTTTTACTTCTAGGATTTTTCTATTTCTTTCATGGAACAAATCAATACAAATTTAATATGAAAACAAAACAAGTGACTATACTGAAATCTAATAGCTGGTTCAACTGCAGAGGATATTGACAAACTATTACAACATTAATGAAAAACGATTTTGTGAGCCCAAGGAAGATGTTTTTCTGAAGAGCCATATATTTTTAATATTTTATTTAATATCTAGAATCAATGATCCACATAACTATTAATTTATATCTACCTCATGTTTTTATAATTAAGAGGATATTTTTGTACTAATGTAATTTAGTTCCATAATTTAGTTCTTCTGCTAAAAAGATCGAGTCTATGGTTATGGATTCACATTGGCCACTACAACTACTACTACAAAAAAAAGATCTTTTCCAGAGTATAAGATGGACTTTAGTACCATCCTGCAATATGAAAGACAACTCTTCTCACACAAAGTAAAGTATTTGTTATATGTAATAAAGCTGCCATGGTTTCTACTCCTTTGTAGGCTTTCTATTGAATTTATTATATTACTATTGCCTGATTATGAAGCCACACTTACAGAGATTAATTTTCAGATTTAAAGTGAGAAGAAACAATATGCAAAATGTTCATGGAGAAATTAGTATATCCAGAAATCAAATTTCTACATTCTTATGGAATTTATATCATAAAGAAGGGAAAATAAATCTATTCTCCTTGCCCCATATAAAAAGTCCAAAATTGGTGTTAGGTAAAAATCAGTGAAGACATAGTAGAACTTCCTTAATGGATATCACTCTCTCTTCTGAGAACACAGGAGAGACATACCTTCTCACAATCCAACTCTTGGGGAGTGGAGAGTAGCGGGGCTTCTAACTAGGTCTGGCCAATGGGTTGTGTGAAGAAGTGACAATCATCACTTCTCTTTGGTTTTTTTCCCCATTAAGTTTATTGGTACATTTTAGGTATAAAATACAGTTACATACATCATTGGGATCTTGTACCTTTACATGAGTATCTTGGTTCTTATTTTTTCCCCCTTCCCCTGCCCTCCCTTCACCCCCTCCACCCTTCCCTATTTGCAAAGATTTTGTTTCCATTTTTTTCCTTTTCTCGTATTTTTTCTTCTTCTAAAAAAAACATTTGATTACTGGTGCAAATATCTCAAGTGGTCTACTCACCTGCTGTGGTGATTGTAAAATTATGTCTTGAGAGAGTACTAGAAAATGGGAGAAGCCAGAATTGAGGGCTACTACTCCAAAGTTGCCCCGAACTTCAGTAGACTTTACTTAAGTATGAAATAAACTTATTTGCTAACCACTACGATTTTAAATTTTGCTGATTCTGCACAAGCCAGTTTGTCTAAACAAGCATTATCTAGTTTAATGTTACTAATTTAGGAGGAGTTAATGTAGGTAGGAGTCCTGAAGGCAGCTTCTGAGGCCCACAAGTTTTATGGGTAGTTCGCAGGGTACTTACAGATGTTTATAGGCTTTCCAAGTACAGAAAGAATCTTAAAAATATTATGAGATATGCAGGATTATGGGGTAGCTTTAACTCAAGGTTTTGGAGAACAATATAATTTCTTTTTTAACTAAGTATCTGTCTTTCTTTTGTAAGTAAACTTTTTTATTGAACTATAACATAAATCATAAATGTTCTTATCAATAACCTACCACAAAGTTAAGACATGTGTGCAACTCTCACACAGGTCATAAAAGAGAACACTACTAAATCTAATACAGCTAAACTCTGTTTTAGGTTGCTTCATTAAGAAGCACAGCGTGAAACAGGAATTCTTTGGTGGGCTCAATGGGAGAAGAGTGCTCAGAGGAGAATGGAATGAGAGAAATACTTGAGAGCAGAGAAAGAGCTAGAGTGTGACCTTGTGTGGGGATTGCTCAGATCTCATGAAAAGGCAATTGAATAAAAACTCAATCAGAGAGCTATTCTCACCTTGAGGCATAAGCGCCTGGCTTTTGTTCCCCTATGTTGATCAGCCATTCACCAAGATCTGGCTTGAAAAATGGAGCATAGCCTCCCAGCCAAGATTCTACTGTTTGACAAAGGAATAGGGGGACAATCAGGAGTTATAAGCCGCCAACTTGTGCAGCAGAGAGGAGGACGAATGTTCTGGTGTTACTGTCTAAACCGGGCTGGTGTCTTATGAGGTTGAAGAATGAAATTGCAAAGAATGCAATAAAGAGGAGAGTTTATTGGAGGTATAGGAAGAGAGAATGTCCCCAGTAGTCAGGAGAGGCCCCATAACAGGTGACCAGAGTGGGCTCTTTGTCTAGATTCTTTTATATCTAGGTAGCCAGGTCTCTGGCCATAACAGCTCAAGGTGAGCTAGTATATAGACTTTGGGTATGGACTGTCCATGCTCTAATATGACCTATAGAGAAACAGAACATCCAATGGCTGTGCACTGATCACACACACTCTGGCCAGTTAGGAATCTTGCTATGTAGGGAGAACAAAGCAAAATGTAGGAGGGGGTCTGTTACAGTGGTCGCTTCTCTGCACTTGTTTTTTACAGCATTCCTCAGTTCAGCATTCCTGAATTAAATAATCTATATGGTTTGAGTTAACTCTTAACCCTATGTAGATGCAGTTTTCTTCATAAGGCTGACTAGCCCAACTGCATCTTGGCTGAGTCCCTTACTGGCTGCCCATATATAAGCTAAATAGCTAAACTACCTCTTACTCTGGTACTAAGTGGGATCTGATGACGCACCAACAGCATCCACTGTTCATTCTCTATTTCCTAAAAATAACCACTTTACTGACTTACAGTGCCTTAGATTAAATCTCTCTATTTTTGAACTGAATTGGACCAGACATGTATTATTCTCTTGTATGTGCCTAATTATGATCAATACTGTTTCTGGTCTTCACTTTTTTTTATGAACTTCAGGTTTTTATCACCAGGGGCTTGTTATAAATACATAATCCTGCACATATGTAGGTGTCTTTGTGGCATACTTCCCCAAAACTAAAATTGCTGAGTCATAGACATTTTCAGATATATGTTCAGTTATTCCATGGCCTCATTTGTCTTTTATCCCGGCCACAGCATGGTGACTGGCTCTGTAACGGTCCAACCCCAACTTCTAAATCAAAAGCTATATTTCAGGCTTGTGGTATGTGCTTCTTGCTTCTTCCTTCTTCCTTCTTCTTCCTCCTTCTTCCTTCGTCTTCCTTTTTTTCTTCCTCCTTCTTCCTCCTTCTCCTTCCTTCTCCTTCTCTTTCTCCTTCTCCTTCTTTCTTTTTTGTTTTGGACTAGAGATTGAGCCCAGGGGATTTTCACTGAGCTACAGACTCAGCCCTTTTATTCTTTTTTGAAACATCTTGCTAAGTCACTAAGTTGCTCAGGCTGGGTTCAAATCTGTGATCCTCCTTCCTCAGCCTCCCAGGATTTTTGGATTACAGGCATGTGCCACCACTGCCTCTAAGGCTTTTCTGGTTTTTCTGTTGATATTACACCATAATCTCCAGTGGAACCCACTTAGAACTCATGTACACAAAACCTGAAGGTGAGAGGAATAATTATTGGTGGAGCAAATATTTTACCAAAGTGAAAAAAACAGATGAGTAAATGCATCTTCCTTTCTCTCTGTAGAAGAGTTTTCTTTTTTCCTCTTTTTTTTTTTTTGCTTAAATTCTTTCATTGGTGCATTTTAGGTATATGATACATTTACATTTATCAGTGGG